GGGGGCATCGAGAGAGCTTTCTCTCGTTTAAAAGAGGGGAGTTTTAGAGAAATGGTGAGAATGAGGGAAGAATAGGCTTGTTTTGGTATTTATATACGAAGGACCAAAGTGCACATACAGGATTGTCAAATCCTTTCCGCCGTCCCTGGTATTTTGAATCGCTTTACAATTCAGTCACTAGTTGTAAATTAGCCTCCTAATTTCCAATTTGTTTAATTTAACCCGTGTTTATTTTTTCATACTTTGTGAATTGGCCCCAAACCTTTTATTCTTTCTATTGCAGTACATTGTTTTAAAAACCCTTAAGTCCAATTTGTTTTAATTAGATCCTAAGTTTTATTTTATTTTGTTTTATCGTCATTATTTTTTTTCTCGTATTATTTTATTTTATTGCTTCTAAACCTTAACCTTTTTTCGCCTAAATATTTCTTTGAAAAAGTTTTCTTTGATTTATTCGTATTTTTTATTTTATTCCTTTTTATGTACCATATTTTTCATTTTTTTAATTTGTTATTTTATTCTTTTATTTACTCTTGATTTATTTATTTGTTTATTTTATTCTATTTTTTTTATTTATTGTCGCTATTATTATTATTTTTCTTATCTAACATGTTCGGTGTTTTTTAGAAGATTTCATAACCGATCAAAGGTAAGTAACTCGAATCGGATTTTTAAATTTCAATTAAAATTTTTAATTTTCGCATTTAAAGACAATCGATAAATTAATTGGTACCGAAAGGGCAGTTTAAGGGTGCTAATCCTTCCTTGACTGTAATCGACTCCCGAACCCGACACATTTTTGGTACAACGTAGATCAGGTAAGATGATGTCCGACCCACCTAAATTCTTTTTAAAGTGGTCGGTGACGACTCCAACCCATTAATTCAAGTCGAAGCTCAATTCCGGAGCCCAACCGAAAGACGATTCCGACACAGAGATACCCTTGTGGGTCAAAAATCCAGACTTCGATCGTGTATGTTCTCCCATGCTATGCTATTTATTTTTCTGTCATTTCTGTATGTTTCGTTCCAAGTGAATAAAGTTATGCACCAAGGTAATAACTAATTGTTTATCTGAAGGTTGACTGGCTTAACAAATTTATAGAGAACATGTGGCCTTATCTCGACACGGTATGTGTAACTTCAATGATCTTTGACCTATTATGGCCTCTCTTAATATTTGTTTGGCCTTGCTTTATTGAATTCCTTACCAAGTGTTGATACTCGTTTTTTTAGGCAATTTGTGCAACTGCCAAGAATATAGCAAAGCCTATCATTGCTGAGCAAATTCCAAAATACAAAATTCAATCTGTTGAATTTGAGACGCTTACTTTGGGAACCCTGCCACCAACATTCCAAGTTTGACTTCTCTTTCTCAAAAACACTCTACACACATAATCTCAACAACATGATCTAAATTATTCTTTACATTCCGAGGATAATCCGAGCACCATCACATTCAAGCATTGCAATTCTTAAAAGAAATCTTTATAACTGTGAAACTTTATTGTTCTGAAAAGAGTGCTACTAGATGTCTTGGTTATGCGAATAAGACACTGTTACAACGAGTTTTCGGGTTTATATGCATATGTATATCTCTCTTGTTTCTCCTGCGGTAAACAGAAAATTTTCAGATTGGAAGAAAAGTAATGCATACATATCAAAGATAACTGCAAATTTCATAAAAATGGACTGTCAGGATCTATAAGAAAAATGAGTCAGGAAAAATGTCCTCGAGACTAATGATTATGTTGCACAACTGTTCAAGAAAAGTAGTCCATTCCGCAATATTTAATTTAACCTAGTTGCAAGCATGTGGTGGTTACGAGTTTTTAGTTTATTTGCATAAACACAATGTTTTGTTCGTTTGATTCTCCCTTTAAATTCAGCACAAATTTTTATCGACTTATACTCATTGTTGATTTTATCATATGCCAGGAATGAAAGTCTACGTCACTGATGAGAAGGAAATTATTATGGAACCATTACTTAAGTGGGCAGGGAATCCTAACATCGTTATTGGAGTTAAAGCTTTCGGATTAAAAGCCACAGCGCAGGTATTTGCCAGTGTACTGGCTGATTAAAACAAAGAAATATGCACTTCAAAACATGAGAGAATGTGTACACGTTCTTTCCGTCTCTCATTAACAGGCATAGCTGAACCCATGCATGAACAAAGTGGTCCAGCAAGATCTAGATGGAAAAATTCTTGGTGCTTCTAGTGATATGCTTTTGACTTTTTCTTTTTCCTCCTAATCTCTCAGGTTGTTGATTTGCAAGTTTTCGCTGTTCCTCGAATCACTCTGAAGCCTTTGCTCAGCGTCTTTGAAAGGTCTTTCCATGTTTTGCCAACATTTACGTCTCCCTAATGGACAAGGTGTGTCGTTATTTAACTCCATCAAAGTTTGTACTTCATTACTAGTTCTTGCAGACCATGTTATGAGTTTGATGCATAATGTTCCTCTAAGTACCAGTTTCATTGGGGATTTTTTTTTCTGTTTTGTTTATTATATCAATATATTGAGAATTGATGTTATTAAATGTTGTTCATGTTTTTATTTTCTGACTGCTCAAATTCAATGCTTCTTCATGATTCAGTTTCAGCATAATATGTTCAGGAGAAATTATCATCCAGGCAGATCTTATTTTCTAGTCTCATTCTTTCGACTCCCTTTTCCTAATCTTCACTTTTAATTTGCAGCCACATGTTGACTTTGGGCTTAAGTTACTCGAGGCGGATGTTATGGCCATTCCTGGATTGTACAGGTTTGTGCAGGTAATACTTCTATTTCGTCTTTCTTCTTCTAACAGATCGAATTTTGATGGAGAACACTGGTATTAACCTCATAGCCGATGTTCATCCTCTCAACCGACGTTATATACACCAAACATGATGCCCATTTCACTTCCCCCTTCACTCTTTCAGCGTAAGGGGAGTGAACATCATTCCTATGGCAAATTAGTATGGCAACATTTCTTTGTGCTTAATAAGGATACTCCTATTTCTTCAGGAGCTCATAAAGGACCAAGTTGCAAATATGTATCTATGGCCTAAGGCCTTGCAAGTGCCCATAATGGACCCTACACAGTAAGTGTGCATATTCGAGCTTTCTGCAAATTACAGATGAGTCTTTATGTATCACCTCCTAAAATTTCCTCAAACTGACAGAGCCATGAAGAAACCTGTTGGAATTCTTGATGTGAAAGTTGTGAGGGCAATGAAGCTTAAAAAGAAAGATCTCCTGGGAAAATCCGATCCTTACGTGAAACTAAAATTAACAGAAGAAAAGCTCACTGCGAAGAAGACTACTGTGAAACAAAGCAACTTGAATCCCGAGTGGAACGAGGAATTTAATTTTGTTGTTAAAGATCCAAACACTCAAGCGTTGGAGATAGTTGTCTATGATTGGGAGCAGGTATGATACTTTAATGTACTTGGTAGATGAATAGTAGGTTTTGAGGTTGCCTTTAAGGAAACCGACATAACCTTTTCAAAACAATGTCAGATTTCTGTGTTCTGCATGATCATATCTATGCATGCCTTAGTATATTCCACGTGTAATTCCTCAAGCTGTATGTTAACTTCAATTCAGCTTGGCAAACACGACAAGATGGGCATGAATGTTTGTTCCATTGAAAGATCTTACACCCGATGAGCCAAAAGTTTCGACTCTCGAGCTGCTGAAAAATATGGATCCGAACGATCAACAAAATGAGAAGTCACGTGGGCATATTGTCTTGGAAGCCTTGTACAAACCTTTCCAGGAGGATGAGATAAGAGATGACATTGACGATTCAATATGGTACAAAAGCTCCAGAAGGAACACCTGCAGGTGGAGGTTTACTTGTAGTTATTGTGCATGAAGCTCAAGATGCCGAAGGAAAGAACCACACAAACCCACATGTGCAACTTTTATTCAGAGGGGAGGAGAAAAAAACAAAGGTATACCATAAATATAGGTGGTAAAATCAGTGTTTTCGAGCATTGTTTCTTTTTTCCTCAAGAATGGTTTCACTAAAAGGCAATGGTGTGAAAATTCGGTTCCAAACTTCCAAAGCTTCTTACTTTTTGATGCATTCCATATTCTTACAGCTGCAACTGTTGATGTCACAGTTTTAAATATTGGAAATATTTGATAAATCATGATGGGGCACATGCACAACTTGTAACCAATAATTCGATGTTGATGAACGGCATAAGTCTGTTTGTGCAGTTTTCAGGATACATTATTGAGCATGAACTGACAATGCTATTAGAGCTTTTATTTTCGCCTGCATGATTAATCCCTACTGTGTTTTTTTGTCTGAGCATTGTGTTCTTATTAGTTATCATACATTTTGATTCCTTATCCGGAGTTTGTTAATACAGCGTGTAAAGAAAAACATAGATCCAAGATGGGAAGAGGAATTTCAGTTTATGGTGGGTGAACCATCCGTAAACGATAAAATTCACGTCGAAGTATTCAGTACGTCATCTAGGATAGGGCTCCTACATCCCAAGGTGAACATTGCATTGATTTCGCTTTCGTTTTCGTTCTTTCTCGACTCATTACAATGACTTAAATATTCCTTTACATGTTTATCAGGAATCTTTGGGTTATGTTACTATAAGCCTAGCTGATGTTGTGAATAATAGAAGAATCAATGAAAAATATCATCTCATCGACTCGAGGAACGGCCGCATTCAAATCGAGATGCAGTGGAGAACTTCATAGATGCAGTGGAGAACTTCTTAGATATGAATCAGATAAAAATTTTGGAAGAGAGACTTAAGTTGCAAGATCTAAGCCATCCATGACGTCCAATATATTTGCTTTTGAACGCTTCAAACATTTCCTTGTCGTCAAGCTCCTATCTGGAGTGTTCCCAGCACTCCTACTGAAAGTCCAAACTTTGTTCCTTCTGTTTTTGCCTAAAAGAAGCTCTTGACTTTTGCTAACTCCTGGAGTCAATCTCCTCCCTGTCATCTTATTTAATAATTTTCTGTCTTCTTCAGAAGTTTGATCTTGTGCGCTTTAGTTCCATCGCCGTTGAAGGAGTGAACCCGCTGCTGCATCTTTGAGTGAAAAAGCAAGCCTTTATATGTAGGAGATTGAAAAGGCTGAGGCTTGATTCCATGATCTCTTTGTTTTACTAAGCTGATCAATTGATGCAGTAATGCCACCAGTTCAGGGATGTACTCATCTGTTTTCTGTTTATCAGCATGATAAAGTGTTGAAGACGGGTGAGGATGACGTTTATGGCTGCGCTTCTTCCAAATTCATTGCTGTTGAAACAAAAACCAGGAAGACTCAGTATTATTATGTAACTAACAAAAAGAACTCCATTAACATGTCACAATGTGTTACGGAGAGATAAAGAGAAGCCTTCGACTTACCCTGTGTTGGCCCATTCTCCAACCCAGCCGAAACCCTGACATGCTCTGTTGCAGCAAAAAGAAAACAAAGAAACAAATATTACTTCGGAACTCTAGATTTATCTCTTACATAAATCAACAAGGGGGAAAATCAGATATAACATACTTGGTTGTGTTTGTTGCTACTGGAACAAGCCACTGAAGGGTCTTTTCCATCTCATCTTTGACCTGTGAAATCGGCGCGGCAGAAAAAGGAAAGCAACTAAGTAACGGTATTCGAAGAAAACAGAAAATGGATCACAGTTACACTATTATACAATAAAAAGAATGTACATCCTTGGTGTCGATGGCCTGTAATCGGGACCTTAAAGCTTTCTTAACAGTGGGTGGCAATCCATGGTATAATGTGTCCCTGATATTAGGAGGAAGCGAAGCCGGTCGAGCTGCCAATAACATATAAATTCAATTTAATCCAAGCTGGTGGAATTGGAAGGCCTAGACTGCTAGTGGTAAAAAAGGGAAATGGTCATGTCAAAGACTTACAATGTTGTCAATCTGATGAATTACATTAGCATAGTGTAGTGCAAGTCCACCAACACCTAGTTTCTCAGAATTTTCGGGAGTCTCCTTTCCGGAAGATGATGCTTCATGATTTGAAAATTATATTAATAAGACATGGTAAAACATCAAATAACACAATGAGACTTGAACCTAAATGATTACCTCCAAAGGCTTCAAAGATTACTTGATGCATGTACATAACGATATCAATCAGTTTCTCCATGATCTGCAAAGAAAAAGATTACAGTCAAGAAATAAAGGTTGTGTAATGATTATGTGGGATGCAAACTGTCGCAACGGTCTTTCGGTTGGGCCCGAAATTGGGCTTCGACTTAGATTAAACGAATTGGAGTCGCCATCGATCATTTATTTTAAAACAAATGGGTTGATCGGATACCTTATTTCTTACATGATCTGCGTCTTACCAAAGATATGTCGGATTAGGGAGTCGGTTACAGTCAAAGAAGGGTTAGCACCCTTGAACTGCCCATTCGGTACTACTTAATTTTCCAGTTGTCTTTAATTAAGAAAATTGAAAGTTAAATTTAAAGGTAAAATAGGATCCAAGTTATTTACCTCTGATCGATTGAAATACCTTTAAAAAATGTCAGAGTTGTAGTGAAGAATGAAATCGAGTTAAGATAGAAAGTGCACACATATGAAAATAATAAACAGAACAACGAAGAAAAATAATAATAAAATAAGTAGAAATAAAAATAAAACAAAATAAACAAAATGGTAATATAAATAAAAATAAAACAAAAATAAAAAACTAGGAAAAAAATTGGAATTAAATAAAAAAACAGAAAAAATAAAACAAAAATAATAAATAAAAAAAAAAATAATATATATATAATATAGTATTAAATAAAACAAGTGAAAAAATAATAATAATAAAATAATAATAAACAAATACTAAGAAGAAAAAAATAATAAAATAAAGTTAAAAAAACAACAAACCTAACCTATCAATTCATCAAATGAGAGAAATGCATTGCAAGAGAGAGAGATATGATATGAAGAAAAAATGGAGGGGACAAAGTAGGTAGATATAATAAATGTATGTAGATAATATATATATATAATAATAGTAATAATATATATATATATATATATAACAACAATAATATCAATAAAAAAATAAAAAATAAATATAATATAATATAATGGTAATAAATAAAAAATATAGAAAATAAATAGAAAATATATATATATATATATAATATTATAAAATATAGTACATAAATAAAAATAACCAAATAAATATAATTAAAAAATATATATTAATAATAGGTACATAAATAAAATATTAAAAATATATGCATATATGTATAACAAAATAAGTAATATAAAATAATAAAAGTAATAATACAAGGGTAATAAAAAGAAAGAGAAAGTAAAAATAAAATAATATAAGAATAATATAGAAAATAAATAAATAATATATATATATGTAATAATAAAATATAATATTTAAATAAATAAAAATAAGAAAAAAAATTAAAACACGTGGGGACTAGGTTGAAAGAATAATAAAGTTGGGTGTCAAATTTTGAAGAAAAATCATAAGGAAAATTCGATTTGGGGTTAAAATAGACCTTTAAAAATGAAGGGGGATCAAAAGAGTGATTTACCCATTTTCCTTAAAAACACGCAGATCCCATTGGGGATCCGCTTGGGTCATCGGGTCGGGCTCATGGGTCATATAAATGCTAAACAACTCTCATAACTCTCTCCTCCCCTTTACAAGATCAAAAACAAAACCTCATTATCTCTGAAACCCTTCTTTTGTGTTCTTCATTTTCGAAGAACACCACCGTATGAAGCCCAGAAACGTGGTGGCCTCACCTCGCCAGCTGCCTTTTATCGGCGCCGGCTGCCGGTCATTGGCAGCGAAATATAAAAATTTTATATTTTTGAAATCCTCTTTTCACTCACAACTCGGATACCAAACTAGTTATTTCAAAAGTTCCTCAAGGGAGAGTAGATCTGAGATCGAAGGTCTCAGTCTCTCCCCCTATTTCATTGGCGTTTGGGTTTGTTTAAACCGAAAGCAAAGAAATGCAGCAAAACGAGAATCGCACGAGGTAAGCAAAAATCCCTTTTATTTTTTTCGAAATAATTACAAAATGTGATTCAGTACGATTTGTATTTGCCTCATATGTCTCTCGATATTTCGTAATATTCTCTCTGTATATTCCCCTGCATCTCGAATGTCCCAATAACAATGGTGATTACATGGTTTTATAGCCTTGAAAAAGGCTATTTTTAGTTTAAACAAATCCTAATGGAACCTAACTACATCCTTTGTTTGTTGGTGATGAGCGTCGGATGGTTCAGAGGTGGAGGTGTGTTGCCGTGAAACGCGGATGCGGGCTGTTGACTCCATGCAGCACTGGGATGCGGCTGAAGCAACTAGGGTTTCCAAACAGACCCTAACTTACAACGAGTTAAGGGGCTGGTTCGGGTTCGATTCGCGGGTCCTGAACTCGGGTCGCGGGTTTGTTGCTACTGGGTCGCATGTTTCTGGGCCACCCACTATTTGGGTTATGTGTAATGGGCCTGAAAGTGTAATAAAATAATAAATAAATATACATATATATATACGTTAAATAAACATGAATATATATATATATATATATAATATGATATGAGAATGAGACGAAAATATGTGTCAACAGCTGCCCCTCTTTGTCCTTTTTCGTAGAACAAAAATAGGAAAAAGACAAAAGGACACAAATTTCATTCGGTGGAGTTGAAAATTGATTCTGATATTTCAATTAAGAATAACTCCCTGTCGATTTGAGTTGTGGATGGCTCTTTCATTGAGAAGTCGGGTCCATCTTGAAATGATATGAAATTGAAGCATCAATTCATAATTTGAATCGGGTTGTGGCTTCTCGTTGCCAAATTATAGTCAACTTCAGTCTTCTTCTAAGTTTAAAAACCTTGGTTTGAAAATTCGAATGAAAAATAGTTTCTTGATGTGACATTGAGCGGAATGGAATCGAACTCGACAGCTTCTGTTGACAGCTAGCTTTTCTCGACATAAGCTATGCTGTTTGAAAATGGTTTCTTGTCACTAAGGCACGACTGACTTGAAAACCTCGACTGCAACCGGAAAGTAATGTGATTGATGTGTCATCGAGCTGAATGGAATCAAACTCGATAATTTTGTTGGCATATAGCCCTTCTTGCCTTGAGCTATGCTGTAAATTTGATTTGCCTTTGAGCTGAGTGTAATCGAAATAAATGGTCTTTGATGACAAATAACCCTTCTCGCCTTGAGTTATGCTGTAAATGATGTGCCTTGTAGCTGAGTGTAATTGAACTCGAAGGTCTTTGGCAGATAACCCTTCTAGCCTTGAGTTTGCTGCAAATGACGTGCCTCTGAGCTTAGTGTAATCGAACTTGAAGGTCTTTGGCAGATATCCCTTCTTGCCTTGAGCTATGCTACAAATGATGTGCCTTTGAGCTGAGTGTAATCGAACTCGAAGGTCTTTGGCAGATAACCCTTCTAGCCTTGAGTTATGTTGCATATAATGTTCCTCTGAGCTGAGTGTAATCGAACTCGAAAGTCTTTGGCAGATAACCCTTCTTGCCTTGAGCTATGCTGCAAATGATGTGCCTTTGAGCTAAGTGTAATCGAAATCGAAAGTCTTTGGCAGATAACACTTATAGCCTTAAGTTATGCTACAAATGATGTGCCTCTGAGCTGAGTGTAATCGAACTCGAAGGTCTTTGGCAGATAGCCCTTCTTGCCTTGAGCTATGTTGCAAATAATGTGTCTTTGAGTTGAGTGTAATTGAACTCGAAGGTATTTGGCAGATAACCCATCTAACCTTGAGTTATGCTGCAAATGATGCGCCTTTGAGCTGAGCGTAGTCGAACTTGAAGGTCTTTTGTTGGCAAATAGCCCTTCTTGCCTTGAGCTATATTGAAAATGATGTGCCTTGAGCTATGCTACAAATGTTGTGCCTTTGAGCTGAGTGTAATCAAACTCGAAGGTCTTTTGTTGGCAGATAATCCTTCTAGCTTTGAGTTATGCTGCAAATGATGTGCCTTGGAGCTAAGCGTAGTCGAACTCGAAGGTCTTTTGTTGGTAAATAACCCTTCTTGCATTATGCTATGTTGCAAATGATGTGCCTTGGAGCTGAGCATAGTCAAACTCGAAGGTCTTTTGTTGGTAGATAACGCTTATAGCCTTGAGTTATATTTGCATATGATGTGCCTTGGAGCTGAGCGTAGTCGAACTCGAAGGTCTTTAGTTGGCAGATAGCCCTTCTTGCCTTGAGCTATGCTGCAAATGTTGTGCCTTTGAGCTGAGTGTAATTGAACTCGAAGGTCTTTTGTTGGTAGATAGCCCTTCTCGCCTTGAGCTATGCCGTAAATAGAAAAAAATGGCTTCCCTTCACAAGTCTAAGCCGATCATAATTCCTTAGGTGGTTCCTCTGAGCGGGTCTGAACCAAGTGATATGATTTTTGGATGACTCCCCTACACGGGAAAGCCCACTCGTCATTTGAGTTAAGTTGAAATCTGGCTTGAAAATGTTAACTGGAAACTAGCCACTCGTCATTTGAGTTAAGTTGAAATAGATTCGTTCTGGATTGGTTCTCGAACCTATCTGAAATTGATTCTGAAGTCTGTCAATCTTTCGATGCGTCAAGTCGGTAGCTTCTCACTACTGAGTTAAGCAACCACCGTCATTCTTTAAAGGTGCTTTTGAATCGAGTATCCTTCATCCCGAAGTTGAAACTTGACTCTAATGCTACAAAAAAAATGTATGTGAAAAAATAACAAATGTGATGCTCTTAAATATGCCTAAGATGCATGTAACATGAATTGGTCTTGGACGGAGTCTCGTTCTTTGTCTGTCGATATTTGGTCATTGGAATCGATCATGCCCTATTTTCTTCTCGGGTTGCAGCCTTTCACATTTGAGACTGTCCTGTTTGAAAATGTTTTTTCATTTCTCTTGTTTAGGAGGGAAAAAGGATATGAAAATGGAATAATCCTGTAAAACATTGCCCTTGAATTCAGGCTCGCAATCAAATCGAATCAAATTATAAACATGAATTCAAAGAATATCAAAAGAATCAATAACTCTTTCATGCTTTTAGAGTTATAGCTCTTTGATAAATGTTCAAATGGATGAGTTGGTTTTAGGCTGGCTTCCTATTTTTTAGGGTTCCAGCCATAAAAAATGTTATTTTTTTCTTGGTCAT